TTCTAGATCTGAAATCCTAATTATCAAAAGTGGAGCCACTTTTTCACGATTACGTCGGTCGTTTCTGTCTCTCCGATCTTCTACATGGAAAACCCCGACTGGATTCGATTTCCGCCGATGAATGGCAGCGCGCCGACTATCTCCTCCAATCTTGGATCTACGGCACCATCTCCGACGATCTATCCAGCATGGTTCTCTCAAAAACCTCCACCGCCAGTGATCTATAGACCGCCATCTCTTCTCTCTTCACCAATAACAAAGATTATCGAGCCATTCAACTTGAAGAAAAATTCAAGTCCCTCAAGAAATGCGCTCATTCCATTCACAATTATTGCCAAATAATCAAAACCACGGCGGACAACTTGGCCGATGCCGGAAATCCAATCTCCGATAAACAACTCGTTCTCCAAACCCTACACGGCCTTCCGAAAAACTACGGGACCGTCGCCAACCCCATCTCTTTTCAGAATCCCCTTCCCACTTTTCTACAGACTCGATCACTTCTTCAGATGGAAGAAACAAGAATTGCTGAACCGGAGCAGACCGCTGCTGTTTTCTACGCCTCCAACGCGAACTATCATCCAACAATTGCAACGGTTCTTGCAACAGTTCCCGCGGAGGTAGTTTTTCGCGCTATCAGCGGTTCTATGTCACACCCAATATCGTCAAACACCTTATCTCTGTTCGAAAGTTCACCCGCGATTACTCATGTTCGGTTGAATTTGACCCGTTTGGTTTTTTTGTGAAGGACCTTCGGAGTCGAGTCGAGATTTTCAGGTGCAATAGCTCCGGTGACCTATATCCATTTGGCGTCCCTCCCCCCACCTCATTTCCCGCTGCTTTCCTCACTGTCGCAACACCTTCGTCTCGCACTCTTTCGCATCGGCGTCTAGGCCATTCCGGCAAACACGTCATGTCTCGTTTATTTTCTAGCATTTTTCTTTCCCATAATAAAGATCCTAGGGAGTCTCTTTGTAATGCCTGTCAATTAGGCAAACATTTTCGTCTACCATTTTTTTTAAAAAATCTACTACTGTTGCTCCATTTCAAATTATTCATGCTTATTTATGGACTTCTCGTGTTTCTAGTCTTACGGGTTTCAAATATTATCTTGTGTTAGTTGATGATTTTACCCATTATTTATGGACTTTTCCTCTTCGAAATAAATCTGACGTTTTTACAACCTTTGTCAATTTTCATACACTTCTCAAAACTCAATTCCAACATCCCCGAAAGCCTTACAAAGTGATAATGGTCGTGAATTAAAAAATGCGTATTTTCAAAACTACTTCACTAAACACGGCATCCTAAATCGTTTTTCGTGTCCCCACACCTCCCCTCAAAACGGACACGCAGAACGAATGATCCGCACTATAACTAAGATGATTCGATCCCTCATCTTTCAAGCTCATCTTCCTCCTACTTATTGGGCCGAAGCCCTTCATATGGCCACACATCTACTCACTACTCAATATCTTACCTACCAAAATCACACAAAACCGGACTCCTCACGAAGCTCTTTACCTCATCAAACCTACATACTCTCATCTTTGAGTATTTGGTTGTCTCTGTTATCTCAACCTCACCGCCACCACACCACATAAACTCGCCCCCCGTTCTACTCCTTGTGTCTATCTCGGTCACCCTTCCTCTCACAAAGGCTATCGTTGCCTTGATAGATCCACTGGCCGAATCATAATTTCCCGTCATGTTACCTTCGACGAAACTCACTTTCCTTTTGCTGAGTCCACTCCCCCCAAAAACACACTTTCTACCTCTACCTTGGACGAAAACACACTCTCCTTGTCCCTCATCCCTCAGACTTCCTCTGTTCCAACAATGAACCACCATGTTCCAACAGTTCGTCCAACAGTCCTATAATACAACCAACACCTGTTTCTCCTGCAGCACCACCTCTCGACCACGACCAGCTCACAACCCCTTCTCCTACACCCACACCTCCCCCACCTCCCCCACCTCCCCCTGCTCACCCTATGGTGACTCGCAGTAAAGTGGGCACCCACAAACCCAAAGTCCCTTTCTCTCTCGTTGCGTCCTCTACCTCTCCCATTCCCACAAACTATCGATAAGCTCTTCTTGACCAAAACTGGCGAAACGCCATGATTGAGGAATATACTGCTTTAATTAAAAACAATACTTGGAATGTTGTGCCCCGCCCCCTGTTCACTAATGGTATTTCTGGAAAGTGGATATACAAACAAAAACTCAAGTCTGATGGCTCCCTTGAGCGATACAAAGCACGGTGGGTTGTTCGTGGGTTTCACCAGCAGGCTGGCATCGATTTTGACGAAACTTTTAGCCCAGTTGTCAAACCAGCCACTGTTCGAACAGTTCTCAGTATTGCTCTCTCGCGATCATGGCCAATCCACCAGCTTGATATGAAAAATGCCTTCTTACATGGCAATCTCTCTGAAACTGTCTACTGCGAGCAGCCTCCCGGATTCGTCGATCCATCTCGCCCCACTCACGTGTGTCGTCTCAACAAAGCACTCTACGGTCTCAAGCAGGCACCACGTGCTTGGTACAAACGTTTTGCATCTCACATTAGTACCATGGGGTTCAGAGAATGCAAGTCCGACACTTCACTCTTTGTGTACTGTCGCAACAGTTCACGCGATTGTCGCAACAGTTCATGCGCCTACCTTCTGCTGTATGTCGATGACATTGTACTTACGGCCTCCACACCTGAAATGCTCCGCTCTATCATCGGTGCCCTCAATCAAGAGTTCGCAATGAAGGATCTTGGCGATCTTCACTACTTTCTCGGCATCTCAGTTACTCGCTCGTCAAATGGGCTATTTCTCTCTCATCAACGCAAGTACGCCGACGAGATACTAGAGCGTGCACACATGGCTTCCTGCAACCCTTGTCTTACGCCGGCTGACACAAAGAGCAAGTTGTCGTCGACCACTGGACCCCCCGTTGCTGACCCTACTCTTTATCGCAGCCTTGCCGGTGCACTGCAATACCTCACGTTTACTCGTCCCGACATCTGCTATGTTGTGCAACAAATATGCCTATTCATGCATGATCCGAGGGAACCTCATATGGCTGCTCTCAAGCGTATCCTTCGCTACATTCGTGGCACTCTCGATCACCGCCTTCAACTCTCCCCCAATCCGGACATCTCCCTTATCGCTTACTCCGACGCCGATTGGGGTGGCTGCCCTGACACTCGTCGTTCGACATCGGGCTATTGTGTTTTCCTCGGCAACAACCTCATCTCTTGGTCCTCCAAACGGCAGGTCACTACTTCTCGATCGAGTGCGGAGGCGGAATATCGAGTTGTAGCAAATGCCGTCGCCGAAACGACTTGGTTACACAATCTACTTTCTGAGTTGCTCTGCCCACTTTCGAAAGCCACTATTGTCTACTGTGACAACGTCAGTGCCGTCTACTTATCCAGCAATCCGATTCAACATTCTCGTACGAAACATGTGGAGATCGATATCCACTTTGTCCGAGACAAAGTTGCTTTGGGACACGTTCGAGTTCTTCATGTCTCATCCGCCTACCAATTTGCCGATATCTTCACGAAAGGACTCCCTACTCAACTGTTCCAACAGTTTGTCTCTAGTCTCCACGTCCTCTCCTTTCCCGTTTCGACTGCGGGGGTGTATTAGCGTATATATTATATATATTACGTATATTATTATTATTCTTATTTATTCTAGTTACCTTGTATAATAAGTTACCTTGTGTAGTAGGTTATGATTTCCTACATGTAAATATATATATGATTAATATACGTGAGAGATAATCACTCTCTCTTTTCTCCAAATCTATTTCTCCTATAAGTAGCATTAGAACTATTCAAAAAGTGTAGTATTAGAACTATTTAAAGAGTATAACTTTCGTCTGATGGAAAAAAAATGAAATTAGATATTTTCGTATAATTACTATAACATTTGAGAAAGCTATATCTAAAAGTCCCTTTCAGAAAATAAATAGATATTTTTAAACCCTACACTTTAATCAATACTTCAATTAACTAATCAGATATAAGAGTTTATCAGCGCTTCAAAATAAATTTAGCTAATCGGCAAACTTAAACTTAGCGAAGGGCTCTAAAAATGTCGGTATATAGATACAAATTTTATGCTCTCTTAAATTATATGAAGCCATAAATTACCGAAATTAGTGGCAGTTGCTATTTGGGTATAACAGTTGAAATTGGGAATAATAAAAATAATAAAATAATAATATTATGGTGTACTATAAATAAGTGGCGGAGGGACAACGGGGAATGGTGGTTATTTCTGTACCTCAACTGCTTGTGGACACAGACTGTTTGAAGCCCCATGCTTACGTGGCCTAAAGCAAAGCCTTATATATGTCATTTTTCATATATTTTTAGATAAATTTTCGTCAATAAGAGCAACTCCAATGGGGAGATATCAAAATGAAGCATTAAATATTCATTTGATGCTTGATATAATACTTTGATACTTCTTGAAAAAAAATTCACTCCAACCACGAGTATCAAATAGATTATCAAATTTTAAATATATGAATAATTATTTTTTTAAATGTCACGTGTCAAATTGTGATAGGTTAATCGAGTGGTTATATTTTTGATACCTCATTTTCCAGGGAGTATTTTTGCACCTCGGGGTAGTTGAGTATCAAAATAATTCTCCATTTAATGCCCCCATTGGAGAAGGATTTTTTAATTTTAGAGCATCAAAATGGTAGTTTTTTAGTTTAATGCCTCATTTAGTGCCTCCATTGGAGTTGCTCTAATAATAAGGTACGTACTAATCAATTTTATTATTACTATATATTTTTTTAGTAGACTATTATTATTATTTTAGTTGAACGAAATAATGGCTATTAATGCAATTAAAGGCCTATCACATTACCTTTTATTACTTAAAAGTACATGATGAATTTCGTGAAAGGTGTGTGGCTTTGGGTTTTCTTATTTCGAATTTCGGATTTTAGGTTTCAATTTTTCGATTTCAATTCTTAAATTATAAATTGTTGTCGAAGTTTAGAATTATACTACTTTCAAAAGTTTGCTGTTGATTTTTATAAGTTTACTGTTTAGCTTAGAATTTTATTTTCCAATATTCAACATTGCCGATTTTCATAATTTTATAATCATATTTTGTGAAAATACAATTTTACGAATTTACCTGCTAAATTTTAGTAATTTGCTATTATATTTTGTTTAAGTACTCAAATTTCAGAAGTTCATTTCTGAGTATCAGAAAAATTCGTTTTGGATTTTCATAAGTTTACTTTTATATTTTGATTAAATACTCAGTTCATAAGTTCACTTCCTTATTGTTGGTAAAAAGGCCCTTATTCCGCGTACACACACAAAAGCAAACAAACAGTCCCACAAGGGATAGCCTAGCAGTTGGAGTAAGCGAATATTTGTCAATGGACCCAAGTTCGAATTCTCTTTCCAACGGTCGAGCTTGTCACACATGTTTAACATACTGTTGTTTACGTCTCGTATGGTTTGCAAGCTATTATACAAAAGTATAAATTTACCCAGTGCACCTATATGGTTGGCTACTGGTTTCTTCGTTTAAATTATAAAAAAAAAAAAAAAAAACCAAGAAACAAACAGGTAAATTACAAGAGAAATGTGGATTAATTAAAAGTTAAAAGACACCAAAAGGGTTTAAAAACCATACCCTAAAAAATAATCCTTGTCCTTATCAATAATTGGTAATGGCTATCAAACATTTAGGTATTTTAGATGTAATAATTTAATAGTCAATAATTTGAGATTAATAGAAAGTCTGTCCCTTTTTTGTAAGTCTTCCAACTTAAATAATAAATAAATATTAAAAAAGAAGTCAAGGCAAATAAATATCCCCTAAAATAAATGTGGCTCGTTGTGTGCCAACAAGAGAGTCTACATCATCACCACATAGAGAAAATATATATAAATATTCAAGTAGTTTTTTTTTAGTAATATTGCAAATATCTAATCTTGGTTGATTGTGTTTACAACAACTAAACGACGCCGCTAGTGTTTGGCTAGGGCTAACTCTAATAATTCATAATGCATGTTATTAAAGTGCTTCATAGAACTATAGCTTGTTTTCATTGACATCAATTATTTAGCTCTGCAATATAAGTTAGGCTTCATCTAAATTGGATACAATAAAATGTTACATATATAGGCTAAAATGTCAAGAGACAAGATGTATAATTTTCTGAAAATTAAAAAAGATAGTTTTCATCCCCTCATAAATAGTGTTTGGCCTCGTTTGGTCGTCAAGATAAGATTAGCCAAGATAACATTAAATAATCTAATCTGATGAAAACCTAATTATTTTATCGGACGTCCAACAAAAAAACTACCTAAAAAGGCAAGATATCGAGAATACCAAACATCAAACAGAGTTCAATTATTTAGTTAATAATGACTAATCTCCCCAACCAACCGAGGCATTTGTTCACAAATTCTTGCACCGGAGCTGGGAGGTAATCGGGCGAACTGGAAGATGCGGACTTCGCTGCAAGAAATAATCTTGTTAAACTCACAATATATTGTTCAATTCAAGATAATTAAAAAATTACAAGTTGTGACAAGCAATTTAGAGCAAGAAAGAATCAGAAACAAAGTGATATATTAAAGTATAATTTAGTATTGTGAATCATTTTCTACATTATATAGATTCCTACATGTCCGAATCTTTGATTCAATTTTCGGACACATACGAGCGCAAGTATAGATCCAAGCCCAAAACGGAAATGCAGCCTAAATTTCACTTCCCAGGTTGCTAAACGAGGTTAAAAGATTGGGATTTCGAAAATATCAAATCTAGTAACCCCCACTAAAAGTGACCAAAACCATTTCATTTCAGTATTGAGAAACCATAAATTGTGAGAATTCGGCACATAGAACTGAATACAACCAAAAACCTATATCAAAATAGTAATTTTAGATAAAAAAATAAATAAAAAGAAAAGTCAAAACTTAGTTGAAATTAACTAATCAAACATCAAGTTCTCATACATAACAGTTCTGGCATGAAAATGCGTGTTAGTTTGTGTACCTCAAGCTGTGCCGATTTCACGTACATGAATCTCTCGTTCGCATTCATCAAAAGAGCAATTCATACTGGCAACACCATAAGTGAACAACCAACAAGATTTTCCCAACTAATCATGAAATGTTGCCTTGTTGTTCGAATTGACTATGTTCTCGGCCGAACATGCTTTCCTATGATTCACTGACAAAATCCGAATACCAGTATCCACCTTGTCATTTGTGCATCAACTTCTCCTCTCACATCTGACTTGTACTAATCAAGTTTCCTATAATCAGGAGTTATCCATAATATCAAATCGAAAAGGAACCAATGGATTCAATTCATTGAGCCGATCACAAGCCCAATTGCCTAGCTTTAAGCACTTGTACTTTCGGCTGTAATCAAACACTCTCATCAATATAGTGGAAGTAGGATCAAACGGCATGTTTGTAAGGAAACTCTCGAGTTCATCCATAAATCCATACTGACCATATAACTCAACCATGGAAACATAATGCTCCAACTCAGGCAGCAAACAATACTTGTCACTCATTACATCGAAATAACGCCTCCCCATTTCAACTCGGCCCTCGGATATACAAGCGTGTAATAAGCCTTGAAAAGTGACTCTATCTGGCTTGATCCCCTCCTTATCCATTCGCTCAAATAGCTCAACTACTTTCCCACCCATTCCGTTATGCGAACACCCCAAAATCATCGAATTGAAGAGGATCAAATCTTTCGAATCAGTTTTATCAAACACATTCATAGCGTATAAAACGCAGCGGCATTTCGAGTACATGTCAACTAAGGCTCCACTTATGACAATATCAATATCATAACCGTTTCTGATCATGAATGCATGGATTTGTTTACCTACTTCTAGTTCAAATATGTTTGCACAAGCAGCTAAAAGTGTACCGAAGGTGAACTTGCATGGTTTTGCCTCTCCTAGCATCTTCTCGAAGATCAGCATTGCTTCTTCGCTCATTCCACGACGGGCATAGCTCGTCAATAAAGCATTCCAAGAAACCTTATCTCGAGAATGGCTCATCTCGTAGAACCAAATTCTTGCACTAGTCAAGTTACCGCACTTCCCATACATGTCAAGAAGTGCATTGCCAACAAAGAGATTGGAGTACAAACCATGTCTATAGGCATATCCATGAACTTGTTTACCGAGTTCTACATCTGGAATTGCTGCACACATATTCAGAATTAATCCGAGTGTAACATGATCAGCTTCTTTAGTCTTCCTACGCATCATTATCACAAAGTCCAATGCTTTATCCCACTCAAACGAACGTGTGTAACATGCCAACATCACATTCCATGAGATCACCGTTCTTTCGGGCATTTGGTCAAACAACTCTCTGGCTTCTATCATTCTCCCACTCATAGCATACGCCGAGACCATTGAAGTATAGCTAATCAAATTCTTGGAACAAGGCAAGTTGAAAATCCTCCTTGAGCTCTCCAAATCTCCACACTTGGCATACATGCTGATAAGAGTACTCGAAACCACTTCATCCTCTTCCATATTAATCTTGATACCAAATCCATGAATTTGAAGGCCTTCTTTAAGTCCACCAATACTCAGACAAGCAAGAACGGCATTAGACACCGTAAAACTCATTGGCTTCACCTTCATCCTTATCATTCTTGAAAACATGTTTATAGCCTCGCCACCTTCATCCATTTCCAGGTACCTCCGAACTATCACATTCCAAGAAACATCGTTCGGATTCTCGATCTCATCAAACTTCCTCCTAGCATCCACCATCGCCCGGCATTTTCCATACACATCCACGAGCGAACTCTCCAATATAACATTTCCCACGTAACCGTATTTCACAACAAGACCATGGACCTGTCTTGACATCCAAAGTTCCAATGCATCACCGCAAGACCCAAGAACACTAGCAAAAGTGACCTCACTCGCAAAAACTCCCTCCCCAATCATCTTGGAAAACAATCCCAACGCATCTCCCGCCCGATAATTTTTTGAATACGCAGTGATCATCGCATTCCAAGACCCGCCATCTCTACTCGGCATTTCGTCGAACAGTTCCTCGGCATCCTCCAAACAACCGCATTTTCCGTAACATTCTATTGCCCTGTTGAGCAAAAACACTGGCGGATTCGGCGTGAAGGTGACCAAGTGAGATTCGAGCTTCCGGGTCTCGACAATTGCTTTGCTTGATGCGCAAATCCTGAATAGATGGGCGTAAAGGGAGGAAGGCAAAGCGACGGCGGAAGAGAAGAGAATGGAGACTGCTTTCGGAAGTCGCCCGAGGCGGACATGATTGAGGATAGTGGTGGTCAATGCCTTGGCGGACTGCGGCGAATCGGGGCGGTGGACGGCGGTGTTAGTGGTGGCGGAAAATCGTGCAAAAGAACTAGAACCGGTTCGCTCTGTCATGTGTTTTGATTAATTCTAATTCGGGTTTCCTTGCGGGTTTGAATAAACCATTTCCGGTTCAGTACCGATAGAAATTGGGCTTTTCTTGAACATAATCCATATTATATGGGCTCACAAGGAATAAACCCAACAAAATGAATAAATGGAAAAAGTAAATCCTAATATCCAACGCCCAATTAAGAAATTATTAAAATATGATATGAGCTATCTCGTCCATACGAGCATCGTCTAAGTAAATACGATTAATTGCACAAAAGACCCTAAAAGGGCGACCTGGAGATAGAAGCTCAATTCTGCTAAAAGGGTATATAAAATCATAGTATGGAGAAAATGTTGTTCATAGCTAACGTCGTATGGCGGTACGAGACCTCGGGGAGGCGTTTTAAGCTAGCTGAAACATATATAACCCAAATGCGGCAAAATCAAATAAATAGAAAATTAGGTTAAAAACACTTCGAGAATTGCAGGATGTTTTGTCTACCTTCCTTACGTTCTTCCTTGTTCCTTGTATCAAAAACTCAATCAAAATGCAACTATCTCCAAGAACAAAACGTCTGTTAATGCTTAATACTGTAATGAAGCCCGCTTATGTATAACACACCTAGAATAGTACTCTTTCTGATTTGATTGTCGGAATTTTTATGACGGAAAACCCTTTCCAGTGTTACAGGAATGACGTCCGACCAAGATTCCGGTGAAAATTGAAGACCGACATAAGCGAGACTAAGTTGACATCATCACACCGACGACCGTAGATTGATTAGCAAATATTGGGTCAATGAAGTGCCCAAAATATTTATTTGCACAAATAATTTCAGTCCTATTAGTGAATAGTGATTTTATTAAAGTTTAATATAATGTAGATTTATCCTACTTATTTTATGATTGTTATCTTTGTATATTTAATCACCACTATATTTTACCTAACAATTTGACAAATACTCATTTTGAGTTGAGGTGAACATATTTAATCACCACTATCTTTGTATATTTAATCACCACTACATTCCTAATTAGTACTTCCGGAAAAAAAAAAATCTGATTTTTCAGAAAGTCAAACTCCAATTTTAATTCCAATCCCAAAAATAGTCCAAATCATTTATTGCAAAAATCTTAAACAATCTGCTTTTCTATACCTTTGAAATTTTAATGTGAACACAAATTACTGAATTAATATAAATATCTATATAATATATAAATTGAAACCCTCATAGCCTAGAATTTCGACATTTGTCATCCACGTGGGCGTCCATGTAGACATCCCAGTCATTGCCCATATGTCATTACATATACCATAAATAACTTCACTTTCAAAATCGGATTTGATTGCAAGAATCGGAATAAATCAAACATTATTTAGTAAATCGGAATCAATGCATATTATTTACGGTAGTGATCTTAAATTGTGGATATTTATTCGAAATTATGGAAGTTAATTATGGAATTAATATATCCCTAATATAATTATTTCAAATCCTTAATTGTATATTATTTCAAATCCTTAATTGTATATTATTTCAAATCCTTAATTGTATATTATTATAAATTTAATACCTAAATTACGGCATACATTACGTTAAGAAATTAATTTCAATAAGTGTATACTAAGAAATTAAGGAATTCTTATTATAATTAAGGACAATTATTAGTTATTACCACTCTATTAATAGAGATATATTCATAGTACGTCAATTGCGTAATAAAAATATTTTTATATTTAATAAAGAAATATTATTAATAAATTTTTTTAATCCAATTACAAAATCTTATTTTTTATTAAAAGAAAAATTATATAGGTTATTATGGTAATGATTAATTTTGTCATTTTTTATTAGAAAATGACATTTTTTTTGACAATTATATATTTCCTTAATATTATATAGGTTATTATGGTAATGATTAATTTTGTCATCTAATACCAATTAAAATCCGTAATATATATGTAATTATATATTATAATTAATAAATCTCACACTATTTTAGTAACAATATATTCCTCAATCCATAATATATTCAATTATTATTCTTATATTCTAAAATGAAATAATTTTAATTGTATCAATTTAATGCATATAACCGATTTCCTTAAATATGTATACTATTTACCTTTTATTACATAAAACCTAAGTATAAATACCTCACTCCACATCCATTATTTCTCATTCATATAACAAAGCACACGGCAAGAAAAAAGGTTGTATACTCTAATTCCATTCTTTCATTATTTAGTTAATATTCGATTAGTTTATACCGTAATTTTTGATTGTTTATACCCTATATATATATTTTGTATGGTTTTCCGTTTAATAGTTACCAATTTCCTTTATCTTTCATACTTAATTGTTAATTTTACTTTTTTATTAGATGTTCGAATTAGGTCGTTTGCGGAAAGATTTATCTTCCGAAATTTATGAAGGAATGCAAGATGTGGTACTACAAGAAGACATGAAAAAGTCTCAAATCGAAAAACGTATCAAATTGCCTTCTTCGTTTTTGGGGAACAATGTGTATGTTTTACATTTTTTTTCATTTTTTTGTATTCCAATTTATGGGAAAATAAAATAACACCGATACTAAATATGTTTGTTTACTCGGTACTTTTATAGATCCACGGACAGCAAGGTATGTGTCATATGCGGCGACGTCGGCTTCAAAGTAGGGTTGCGTAGTTGTATACATTGCAAGGATATGATGCACATATATTGTATGGACGGAATGTGGAAAAAATTTAATTCTAATAGTCAATCTGAAGATTATACATGTGATGATTGTAACCACATTGGTGAAGTACAAGAGATTGATGTTAATGAATTTGAGCATGTCCCATTTAATCAAGGTTTTGTTATATTTTTTAATTTTATATTTTTCGTGTTTATATTTATCTTTTATACATATTATTTAGCGTAAATCAGCTTCTAAGTTTTTGTTTTTATTTTTTTGTGGTTTTGTAGTTACAGACGGAATCAATACATGCGTTGTATGCGATGAGGTTGGTTTAAAGGATTTTCTCATAAGTTGTGTGGATTGCGAGGAGTTCATGCATATTTTTTGTGTATCTAATTTTGATACAATAGATTGGAATGACTCTACCATATCTTCTTGGCGGTGTTGTGAGTGTATCAAACGTGTTAGACCCCAGTGACGAACTCATATATGTTATACATATATGAGTTATATATGATGTTATACATATGAACTAAAGATTTATATTCTTATTTATTTTACAATCAGCATATTATTAAATTTAAGTTCTTATTTATTTTACTATGTATTTCCTGTAATCAAATTTAAGTCATATTAAAATTAGATTTTTTTTTTTATTATCGACATAAACAAGATAACACAAAATTAATTTTTATCCCATTTAAGAACATAACTATGTTTTTTAATTGCATTAATGACACATAACTTTGTAGAAATTATAATACAACCCCTATATAGTATTGCTAATATAAAGAAAAGGCCCACTATGCGTCACAAACTTCAAAATTAAATATATATATAAATATCATCTTAAGGAGATAAATTTGGCAATTGGATTTTTTTTAAAAAAACTGATTTTTACCAATCAAGTGAATTTTGAATAGGATTCAAATCGGGAGTGATGGCGGATTCTGGATTGAATTCCAATTCCCATAAACTCTGATTTTGGTGCCATACGCAGAAGACTGTATCAGGCTACAAAAAAAATGTCAGTATCATTGTTATTCTCCACAATTTTCCCAAAACCTTCTTAATCATTACAACATAAATTCAAATTGGGACAGTTTCATTGGGAAAATCACCTAATTGGAAATAGAAAAAATGGCAACGTGAGTGACTTTGTAATTAAGAATTATATGACAGATTACGGTCAACCCCTGAGGTTAGATCAAATTACGAAAAATAAATGGTAGCTTTATATGTATATTAGTAACAAACTTATTCACGTCTAAATGACCTTTCAATTTGGCGACAGCGCGGTTCTGTTGCACTCAAAAAAATTGTGCCAGCAATTCATGGTCGACGCAATTTCAATGGTTGAATCGGAAAGACTGAAATTTATAAGATTTAACCAGGATAAGTTAAGAGTTGACATGTACAAGGGTATCGAGGAAAGTATTTTGAAGGGAGATACGGATGCTAGATCCATTGGCACGAGGGTTATTCTACCAGGCAGTTTTACACAAGGTCCAAGATACATGTTTAACAACTTCGTCGATGCTCTTCAAATATGCAACTGGATTGGATTTCCATCGTTGTTCATCACTATTACCTGCAATCCACAGTGGCCGGAAATTCAAAGGGCGTTGAGCGGTACTAATTTGAGACCTGAAGACCGTCCCGATATTCTTGCTCGAGTTTTTAAGATGAAGCTCGACAGTCTGATGTCAGATTTGAAGAAGGGCAAAATATTTGGTCGCATTAGAGCATGTAAGTATCAATTTATAAGATAAAAGAATGACATAATATATATTTTATACATTGTCTACTCTTATAATATTATAAATATTTTATTACGTCAAACATTGAAAATTTCTGTATATTAATGCTAACCAAATACGTTTAAAATGTAAAATGTTCAGATGTCTGCACAATTGAGTTTCAGAAGCGCGGTCTCCCGCATGCGCACATATTGATTTGGCTTCACAATGAAGACAAACCGAAGACATCAAAAGACATAGATAAAATCATATGTGCCGAAATCCCAGATAAGGTAACTGACCGAAAGATGTACGATTTGGTTGAGAAGTATATGATTCACGGCCCGTGCGGTCTGGCCAATCAAAACTCTCCATGCATGAAGGACGGGATTTGCACGAAGCGATTTCCAAAGAGTTTTGTCAACCGTACTGAGGCCGATGCAGATGGTTATCCGGTGTACAGAAGAAGAGAAAATGGGAGGACCGTGGTTAAGAAGAAAACATATCTCGACAATGGTTTCGTCGTGCCTTATAATCGTGCTCTACTGAAAAAGTACAGAGCACACATTAATGTCGAGTTGTGCAACCAGAATAAGTCGATAAAATATTTATTCAAGTACGTCAACAAAGGACACGATCGGGTCACGGCGGCATTTTATCAATCAAATAATCCAGGTGCAACTCCTGAAAGTCGCGATGAGATAAAGATGTACTACGACTGCAGATATCTTTCGGCATGCGAGGCTGCTTGGAGGTTATTTAGCTTTGACATTCACTTTAGAGACCCACCAGTGATTAGGTTAAGCTTTCATCTTCCGGACAGTCAGTCAGTTGTGTTTACAGATAATGACTCATTAGTTGATGTGCTGAACAAACCGACTGCGAAGCAAACGATGTTCCTTGCTTGGTTCCAAGCGAATAAGTTGTACCCTGAAGCTAGAAATTTGAGGTATGTAGAGTTTCCACAGAAATTTGTCTATAAGGAAAAAGCTCGCTGTTGGATGCCGAGAAAGATAGGATTCTCGATCGGAAGGGTTACCAATGTACCGCCGGGCAGGGGTGAAGACTATTACTTGAGACTGTTGTTGAACTTTCAAAGAGGTTGCACGTGTTACGATGATCTTAGAAAAGTCGAGGATCACGTCTACCCAACTTTCAAAGATGCGTGTTTTGCGCTTGGACTACTAGATGACGACAAGGAGTACATAGCTGGCATAAAGGAGGCAAACGAGTGGGCCAGTGGTGACTATGTTAGACGATTATTCGTCGTACTTTTGGTCGCAAATAATATGAGCAGACCGGAACATGTGTGGGAGTGTTGCTGGAAAGAATTCACCGAGGATATTGCGTACAGACTGCAACAACGTCGTACCAATTCAGGTATGAGAATACATCTTACGTTTTTACAACGTTTACTACACACGTTTGAATTAAAACTATATATTTTTATGATGGTCAAATTATGTTAATTTTTCATATAATATTATATTGAAGGTCCACATGTGTCAGACGATACTCTGAGAAACTACGCTTTGATCGAAATAGAAAATATATTGCAAAGCAACAGCAAAAGTCTGAGTAACTTTCCCCCAATGCCGATTCCAATTGGGACGATGACGGACGACACGGTAAATAGATTAGTTCTCGACGAGTTGGACTACGACGTTGATGCTATGCGTGAAGAACTTAAGAAATACCTTTCATCCATTACTGATGAGCAGAAAAAAGTGTTCGATGATATCATGGATGCTGTTGCAAATGACAGAGGTGGACTGTTCTTTCTTTATGGGCATGGAGGAACGGGAAAGACTTTCATATGGAAAACTCTATCGGCTACTATCCGTTCAAAAGGAGAAATAGTTATAAATGTTGCTTCCAGTGGTATTGCTTCGTTTCTACTTCCAGGTGGCAGAACTGCTCATTCCAGATTTGGACTGCCAATAATTGTACATGAGAGCTCCACATGCAGCATCAAACAACAGAGCCCACAAGCAGAATTGTTGTCTAGAGCAAAGCTAATCATATGGGACGAGGCACCGATGATGCACAGGTACTGTTTCGAAGCACTCGACAAAACAATGAAATCTATACTTGATTCAGATATGCCATTCGGATGCAAGGTTGTAGTGCTTGGAGGGGACTTTCGGCAAATTCTCCCAGTTGTGTTGAAAGCGTCGAGACAAGACATTGTTCATGCTACAATCAATTCATCACCGTTGTGGAGACAATGCAAGGTTATGAAGTTAAACAAGAACATGAGACTTGAGTCGTCCTCCTCTTCTGCCAGTGCAGATGAAATAAGAAAATTTGCGGACTGGATATTGAGAATCGACAATGGCGATGCTGACGAGATAAATGACGGTGATGCCACAATTGAAATTCCCGATGACATGCTGATTCGGAATTCTGCAGATCCCTTTTTGGATCTTAAAGAATTTGTCTATCCCGATCTGGTGACCAACCTTTTCACTCCCGAGTATTTCGAAGGCAGAGCAATCCTTGCACCCACTAACGAAAGTGTCGGTTTTATGAACGATCATTTTTTGTCGATAATAACTGGAGAGGAGAAGGTCTATTTCAGCTCAGATAGTATGTGCAAGGAGGAGTTGTTGTCGGATGTCAACGCAGAAATATACTCACCGGAGTTTCTCAACACCATATCATGTTCCGGAATTCCACCGCATAAGTTGACATTGAAAAGAGGTGTTCCCGTTATGCTCATCAGAAATATCGATCAGGCCAGAGGATTGTGCAATGGAACAAGGCTTCAGATTATTAATATGGGAAAACACGTTCTCAACTGCAGGAATCTGTCCGGTAAACATGTTGGTGATATGGTGTTCATTCCTAGAATGACTTTGGTACCGTCCAACTCCGCATTGCCTATTAAATTCCAGCGACGTCAGTTTCCGCTGATGGTATCATTCGCAATGACAATCAATAAAAGTCAAGGACAAAGTCTTTCTCACGTGGGCCTGTACTTGCCAAGACCTGTTTTCAGTCACGGACAGCTCTATGTCGCACTCTCGAGGGTTAAGAGTCGAAGTGGAATAAAGATTTTGATTAACTCGGAATCTGGTGATACGACCAACGTTACAAATAATGTAGTCTACAAGGAAGTTTTTCAGCGTATATGAAGGTAAGTATTAAAAAATTACAATATTTATTGACGACCTTTATTATCTATTATTTTTATGTTTTGTTATTCTTCATTCGTAGGTTTATTTTAATTGTACTATGAACTTGCTATGGACTCCGCTCGATATTTCATGAAGGTAATCTGTTTACGATGATTTAATGCAATTAAACAGTTATATTGGTATTGTTTTGGTAACAATTTACATATTTCGTGTGACCATTTTACAACATATGCAGGTCAGTTGCATTGTATCGGATTTGTTGCATGGGTTTAGGGCGGTTGGTATCAAACAATTTAAGTTTTCAACGTTCATGTCATTATGATTGTACAAGTTTGGGACTATATATTCGCTCTTTTGTATATGGAAATTAAAACCTTCGATGTTTAATTTTTTTCACTTATATCAACTTATTTTGAACTTACACCATACAAATTATTTTTATTTTTGAATATGTTAAGTTCTACTTCTTTCTTTTACTTATTAACAATTAATATCACTATTTTGAGAACCTTTTTTATTATTCAATATTTGTTTTACGATGAATACCCCGTGCATCGCACGGGTGTATTACTAGTTATTATTATTAAAAAAAAAAGGTGCAACAAAGTGTGGAAAAAAGCAATGATTGGTAATTTCCATGGTGGGAGCGTTCACACCATATATATATATATGATGTAATAAACATTTTGACAGCAAATTTTGCATTCTTTATTATTACCAGGCTTTTTGTGTTGTCAGAAAATTCAGATAATCTAATACAAACTCGCATTCTTTATTATTACTCAGTTCCTTCGTTATATCCAGCAAAAATCAGGGTTCTTTTAGTCATTTCTCATCCTCGAATCTCATTCTCTCTCTCTCTCTCTCTCTCTCTCCTAATCTCACTTGCGCTTTTCTCCCTAAATTTCATCGATTTTTTCAGACAGAAAAAGATCCTCTCGCACAGACCCTGATAAATCGACACTAGTAGTGCCAACTCTACAAACTCCGCACAGAACAAAATAAATAAATAAATAAATAAGGTATTCCTCTAATCTTGCTGCTTCTTACATTAATTCCTCATTTTTCGCATGTGGGTTTTCATTTTTTGTTTTGGTTTTTCTAATGTTGGCGAGTGGATCTTGAATCTTGAATTCCTCAATTGGGGATTTGTTTTTCTTGGAAATTAAATTAATTAAAGGGTTTGTCTCGTCTGTCTGTGTTTGATTTTGTTTGCAGGGTAATTTCCTCTGTGTTTCATTTTCTTGATTTTTTTTGTTTTAATTGGATGGTAGTAAATGGAATTTTCTCAAAATTTAATGCATCTCTTGTCTGAAGATTCGCCGCCGATCTTTTTTATTCGCTCATGAATTTTGCACAAACGTGATTTAATCTGATTTGTGTTTATGCTAGAGAAAGATTTGTGTTTGGTTTGGTTCTGCATTTGTTTTGTAAAAACAAAATCATGCATGATTTGAATTCATTGAATTACAACGATTGCTTGTTTTTGACCCTCGTCGAGTCGCGTATACGGACAATTTTTCGGTTTTAAACCCTCACAGCATATACGGACAATTTTCGGTTTTAAACGAGAAAATCAAGAAAGTGTTTGCATATCCTTCTTCTCCGCCAATCAGGCGAAGAATGCTTCTGTCTTAATATCATATATCGTTGTTTTATTTCCCTTTTTCGGTTGTATATTTTGTCGTATGTTCTGTCTGAAATAATCATCGATTCACTGAAATCACGGGCTTTAGAAGAATCGACTTTATTTTCACTAAATTCTTTTCACATTTTACTTATAACATCATTTTATTTGGTTCTAAAACCAGCTAAATTCGGCTAGTTATTTGGAGGGGTTTACTCTAATTGTCAAAAAACTCCCCGTGTTATAAATATTACCAAAACGCCAAACGCAGCATTAAGGGGGTTTTTCGCCAATATTTATAACACAAGGGGTTTTTTAGCAATAAACACTTATCTGGAGTATATAGTGCCGGAGTATATAGTGCCGATACTTTTCTTGTTTCTTTTGTAGGCTTTGAGTAAGCAATGGACGAAGCATACACCGATTCGAGAAAATGGGAGGACATGGATATAGACATTCTGGTCAAGGTTTTCCAGAATCTGGATATATTCGAGTTGACTTCCGGTGTGGGCCACGTTTGTCGTACGTGGAGGATGGCAGCTTTCGACCCTTGGCTGTGGAAGAAGCTCGATATGTCGCTGCTAAAATCGAACTTCATCAAAATCCCGTTAGAGCCCTATGTCTATGTGGACGGTCGGTCGGATAAAACGTTTACCCGTGTTTTGAAGATTGCTTTGAATCTCAGCCGTGGAAACGTGTCGACCTTGATTTTTCATTACAATATGTACGTCAGTGACGACCAGTTGTTGTACACTGCTGAAAGGTATATCTAATAACTAATTATTCTTTTTCTTTTTACGTATTTAGTTTCTTGATTTTACACGGTGTGGCGAAATATGCACTAGTACTAGTAGTAGTTGGTAACTTTCTTTATCAAACCTCTCGTTTCACGTCAAACGTCAAGATTCTCTTGCTTTGTTTGTGACAAAAATAATCGATACTCTCACCCGCCTGTGACGCAGGTGCCCACATCTGAAGCGCCTCGTAATGCCAGCCTGGAACAGAATAAAGAAGACAGGCATATGCAGAGCTGTACAGATGTGGCCGAATCTCGAATCGCTCACAATGCCCAGCATATCGAACCCTCCATATCTCATGGAAGAAATCTCGAAAAATTGCCAGAAATTCACCGAACTGAAAATCATGGGACCGTGCGATATTCTCTTCGCGTCAACCTTAGCTGCTTTTCTACCGAACCTTAAAGTACTAAGCGTCCGATGCTCCGTCCTTTTCAAGGAAGCGCTTGTCATAATCCTGGAGGGAATAAAAGGGCTGGAAGTGCTGAACATATCTCACTGCATGCTCGTCGAAGTGGGCCCACAGCCCGGGCCCAGGAGAGTCCTCACGAGGCTCGACAAATCGATTCTCGAAAAAACGAGCCGTTTGAAGAAATTCGTGACGTGCATGAGCGATTCTTGCGTTGTTTGTCAGAGAACTAGGAATGACGAGGGGCTGATTAGGTGGTACAAGTACGAGGAAGATTTTTGGAGGGTCGATGAAGTGAGTTCTCTTGCGGTTTGAGTGGATATCTTTTTTTTTTTTTTCGAGTGTTGTATGAAACTTGTGTGATCGATCTTTGCTCGAGACGGCGAAAAACTTAATAAGGCCTGTGTAGACAGATTTGTAAGTAGGGGTCATGTTTTACTTGACTGTATGATTTGTGTTTTTTTTTTTTTAATTGAAAGGTTGTTTGTTTTTCTGGTGAACAAATTTGTTAGCCGATTTGTTCTATGTTACATCCGGTGAATTCCGTCCGGATGACATTCTACCTCACACACACACACGTACATATATACAATTTACACATATCGTGTCACTTCGTATATTTTGTCAGATGTAGCATCTACGAGATCTTTTTATCCATAATTTGTTTTAGTTGTACAAATCACAGGGTGTACAAGAGCCGCGAGCCAAATTTGATAGTTTTTTCGAGCTCAAATTGAATTTCACGAGCTCGAATTCATCGAACTTTCATTTTCTGAGGTGGAGCTCGAGTTGAATTTATCGAGGTCCAAACTCAAGTCAATTTACTATTATTATTAGTTTTTTATATATATTAATATTTTGTTAAGTATTATATTATAATATAAAAAGATAAACTGATTTGCTTTTTTTTCTTCTAAAATTTTAACTTATTATATACTTTTATGATTTATATATAATATATACTTAAAAGTAAAATAAAAAAATAAAAAAGCTCGTGTGCTAATGAACAACCATTGGACCTACCCAACCTATTGAAAAGTAGCAGGTAGCCGAGTGAAAACCAACAATAGAACCGAGAAGGGTTGAAAAGTCACAAAAAAACTTGCTTTGGTGCCAAAAGGAAATTTAGACAAAAGTAAGTGCAAAATTGTTGCTAGTCAAATAGTCCAAAAAGCCGACTCTTCTTCATTCCTCACACACTACGCAGCGTAGTAGATAAAAAAAATCACAACCCCCTCCTTCCTTGTTCCCCTCTCTCTCTCTCTCTCTCTCTCTCTCTCTCTCTACTTTCTCTCTCTGAAACAATGGCCCTTCAATTGTGGGAGACGCTGAAGGAATCGATCACAGTGTACACAGGCCTATCTCCGGCTACTTTCTTCACTGTTCTCGCTTTAGGACTCACACTTTACTACCTCGTCTCAGCTTTTTTCGGGTCGGTTGACGGCGGCCACAACCAGCAGAGGTCCAGAGCTTTCGAGGAGCCGATGGAGCCGCTACCTCCTCCGATTCAGCTCGGCGAGATCACCGAAGACGAGCTGAAACAGTACGACGGCTCCGATCCGAAGAAGCCTCTGCTCATGGCTATCAAGGCTCAGATCTATGACGTGTCTCAGAGCAAGTATGATTTCTCCATCTCTGTGTATTAATTTTGTTTCAGTTTTGTTTTTGTTTTGTGGCTGTGGTGAATTTGTTGGTACTTTTATGGTGTTTTTAGGGTTATGAATTTATTTATTTTTAATTTTTTTTCCACTTTGTGTGGTTATTTGAGCTTTAAGGCAATTGAATCATTTTGTTGATTTTGGTAACAAAATTGGAATTTATTGTTAATGATTTTGTTTAATATGTGTCTATTTTTCTCTTGTTCCTTATTTGATCAAAGTTTGCTCACTTTTCGATCTTTTGTTCCTTCCTGAATAAAGTGATTACTCTTTCTAGAATCTTCTGTTATTATCTCTGTATATAGCTGGTGTTATCCAATTTCTTTTGTGAAAAATGGATTCACGGTATATTCTGATTGACGATTATATAGTTTGCTAAAATTAGCTATTGGGAGCAATATCTGTGATTTCAAATGGAATTATACAGTTGATGGAAGTGAATTTATTCCACTTTTTGTCAGCCAAGTGGAGTAAAGTGATGATGTACGATCCTAGCGATATTTAGTACTCGTATTTGATTTTCTTTTTTACCTTATGTAAAAGCACGATTTTAATAGCTGACCATCTGTTTCTACGTAATTATGAACTTGCGTTTATTTGTGATATCGTGTTATGAACTTGCGTTTATTTGTGATATCTTGTGTCACTTCTTATAACTACAAAACAAAAACAATAAGCAATGATTTCCTAGTCCAGGTTGTACAAGTGATTTTTGGTATAGTTTTCAGTTTTTATTTGCTCTTTCGGAAATGAAAATGGACTTCTATGTGAGGATTATACTGGTTCCCAATTTTTGTATGATCAAGGATTAGCGAAAATTGAAAAATCGAACTAAGTGGAGCATGGTTCTAGCAACTCATGCTTGTTCGATTATTCTCATTCCATATGTATATATAATGGGTGTATTATTGTTTGTTTGACAAATCATATATGTTTATTTTTCTACGATTTCCTGCTTGTTATGCCAATCAAACGAAAACACCAAATGGTCAACCTTCTATTATTATAATCGAACAGTTGGTGAATCAAATGTAGCTGGTCGAATATGACACATTCTTGATTTTTGTCATAAGTTCAGTTTTTCTATACCTCGCACTTTTCAATTCTCTCTGTTCATCATTGCTAAGATAAATATCAAGAACCATGTCCATGAACGACTCGTTCTCTCGTTGAACTTGTTTGTTATTATCTTATTTGCAGGATGTTTTACGGACCAGGTGGGCCCTACGCACTATTTGCCGGAAAAGATGCCAGCAGAGCACTTGCAAAGATGTCTTTCGAAGACAAAGATCTAAACGGTGACCTAACTGGGCTGGGCGTTTTCGAGCTCGAAGCTTTGCAAGATTGGGAATACAAATTCATGAGCAAATACGTGAAGGTGGGAACTGTCAAGACAGCTGTGCCAGTAACCGATGAAAGCCAAGCAACCGAAGCTCCTGCAGAAGCTTCTTCCGATGCTACTAAGCTTCCAGAAGCTTCCGATGATGCTGACATGGCAAAGCCGGCAGATGATGGCCCGTATGAGACTGCTCCAAAAGAAACCGCCGAGGAAACAGCGACGGCCAATCATGATGCAGAGAAAAAGGAGTGAATTTTCGTCGGCGACTTTTAAACTGCAAATCGGGATGGGGAGTTTGCTGCCTTCCTTGGCTCTTGTCTTGTTTTCTGCATAGTGGCTTATTTGGAGTTTATAATTAACTCTTTGTTATGTAACAAATATTGGTTGAAACTTATAGTTTTAGCATTTAATAATGACTTGAAGCATATGAAGGTGGATTTTTATACTTCGATTTCTCTTTTATTTTTTTATTTTTATTTATTTATGTATGTTTGCATCAATAGAAAGTGAAGTTGAAATATAGATTAAAGATTCCAGATATTATTCCAAATCATAGGAAATAAAGGGACAAAGCTGATATGCGCACGTGCAGATAACAATGTGTGTGTTATTGTTTGTTTGGTGGTCCAAAGTCCAAACTGAACCTAAACTTTCTTGAAAATTTGCAATTTATTATTTCAACTTTTCAACAATAATATATTTTGCAGCAACAAAATAAAAGTTCATTAAATATCTCTATTGTGGGGTAAGTTTGCAATTAAAACAATGCAGAGGCGTTTTAAATGCAATATATAGGGATGGCCCTGCCTAAGATATTGGTTGTAGCCTATGTATTATTTACGGCATTTAAATGAAGGTTGGATTTGGACCACAAACCCTAATTTAATTTCCCACATTCAATTTATCGACATCACTTATATACTTCGGCTTAGATTTGTCGGTAAATTGGAAAATGTAGATTTCACAATTGAAGAGTTCATGATTTAAATATATGTTCATATTTTTAAAAAGATAAAAAAAAAAGTTTTAAAACTAATTAATTCTTGAATTTCACATTCAAATTTCAATAATCGGCCTTAAAAAGGTGATTATTTGTAAATAATGGAAAATATATCAATGTATAATTATTTTATAATTTGCTATAACCTTAAAAGATTAAAAAAAAATATTAAATATTTTGATATTCGGAACCGTTACCACGAACCGAATTTTCAGTTCGACACGATTCGGTTGGGCATCTCTGTTGTATTTCTAGCAGTAGAGTTCCTTAATAGCTCTTCCCGAATTAGTATGTTAAAATTAGGGGTGAAGTTAACACTTTCATTCCAATTGTTTTTCCATAGTTAATAACTAATTCCAAATATTTTTTCTTCTTCTATATAAAAATGAGAATTTGGGGCGAAAAATTTGTTCTAGAATCGAAATTGATGACTCCAAAAATTTCATTTTCTAAGTAACCTATAATTTAAAATATATACGAATCTTAATATCACAAATACCGTCATGAAGTGATTAAAAATCACAAAAATATTTCTTTTAACCTTTAAAAATTAAAACCTTCAAATTCTTTAAAGTTCAAATTAATCTCCTACACTTACGTATTTGTGCTTTCTTGATTTTTTGTTCCCATTTTTTTTTTTTACCGAAGTGAGGCCAGAAATTCAGAATCTTTAAGTGAAGTTTCAACTAATAATTAATCCAAAACAAACAAACAAAATTTATCAAAAACCGTTTTTGTTTAGCGATGGATGAAGATGGAAGTAGTCGATCTCCTTCAGCTGATTCCGACGATTCCGCAAGCTCTGACAGTTCTTCAATGGCGGATTCCCCCTGCTCTCACTGTTGGCGTGGCCCCTTCTACTTCGCCATGTCCTTAACCCTTGCCTACCTCGCCGTCACAACGATGAAACACTCCGCCCCGGAAAACCCACCACCCCCGCCGCTCCACGGCCTCGCGCTCAACGCCTCCGCCGTCCTCCGCCGCCACGGCGGCTTCCACATAACCGCCGCCCTCCTCCAAGTCTCGCCGGACCTCTTCTTCTCCGGCAACGCCTCCACCGTCTTCGCCATCCAGGACTCCGCCTTCTCCAACCTCTCAATCCCGCCGTGGGAAATGCGGCAGCTCCTCCTCTCCCACGCCGCCCCCTCCGCCCTCCCCACGGCGGAGCTTCTCAAGAAACCCCCTGGCTTCTGCTTCAAAACCCTCGCCGAAAACAAGAACCTGGTCATCACAAAGAACAACCCGAAAACGGGCCCGATCACAATCAACAACGTACCCATTTCCGACCCGGATATATTCCTCGAAGGCCCGTTCTCAGTCCACGGCGTTCTCCGGCCACTCAACGAGATTCCGGCGCCGGCGTGCGGCTTCTCCGACCACCGGAATGTCGAATGGACGGGGATCATAAAACTGCTGAGCTCCAACGGATACGTTTCTTTTGCAATCGGACTGAACGCGGTTCTCGATAAGATCGTTCGGAATTACGAGAAGTTGAGCTCGGTAACCGTTTTCGCTCCGCCGAATTCCGGGCTCATATCGTCTCCGTCGCCATTCTTGGATAGAATTGTGAGGCTTCACATTCTGCCTCAAAGGCTTAATTACATGGAATTGATCGCAACGAAAAATTCGTCTCTCAAGACTCTGATTCCGAGCTTTGATTTGAAGATCGAAAAGTTTACGCAAACTCTCGTGATTGACGGGGTCGAGATTACGAGGCCCGATTTGTTTTCGTCGGAGACGTTTGTTGTTCATGGGATTCCAGGGATTTTGATGTTGTTGAGCTTTTCAGTTCATTCAAATAGTTTTGTTTTAGATGAAATTCTTTGCTTGGTGATTTAGTTTCTTCATCTTGTAATTAGGATAAATTGATTGAACAAGTATACATACAATATTCATTACTTGAAAAGATTTTTTTCTTTTTTTCTGTGCAAATGAGTGAACTTTGAGATGAAGGGTTGATTCCGTACCGGAAATTTAGCTCCTTTTTTTATCCCTTTTTTGATATATGTGAAAATAATAATAACAAAAAATAAAAAACTAAAAATCGGTTTTGGACTCGGACTCGGATCCGAAAGGACCCTATTGGACCCGACCCGGACCCGCCTCCAAAAGGGTCGGTTTCGGGTCCCGAAAAAGTAGGACTCGGACCCGACCCGCCCCGTGGTCGTGTCGAGGGAGAGACCCTAAATATTTTAATTTGCTCCATTTGAAAAAAACGCATACTCATTCTCAGTCATTATTTTTTATATTTTCAGCCATTAATCGACTACGAAGCATAGTCGATTAATGTAAATCGACTATGAAACATATTTGATTAAGGAAATTCTTTAATATATATATATATATATATATATATATATATATATATATATATATATGAAAGAATTTATGGTCCCGAATTCGTATTATACAGAGATGTTATCTAAAATGTTATGACACTTGAGACAACATGCAGCGGAAATATAAAGATTAACAGACAGTACTCAGAATTAAAAATGTTCACAAGTAAAGACTTGTGAACTTGCCCTTTACAGGACGGAAAAATATATTAAAATCAGTATTCCAAGAATACAAACAGAAGATGTGCGAAAACTTCTTCCTTATGAATGAATCTTTTTCAAGATCATTCTTACAATCAAATCTAGATACTAAAAGAAAAATATTAAAAATTCTAGATTTCAAAGAATGTACTCGTGAGGAGTACGTAAAGAACTTATGAATGAATCACTATCTTGATCATTCTTACAACCAAGTCTAGAAACATATATACTATACAATCTAGACTACAAAGAATGTACTTATGAGAAGTACGTAAAGAATGTACTCATAAGGAGTACGTAAAGATTGTACTCATGAGGAGTACAAACGACCGATTCTAAAACCACTCTAAAACACTCATGAATTCTTTTCAGCTCTCGGTTTTTTTTACTTCGTTGAATCGATAATCTTCCTTGAGTATTGAAGTCGGTATTTATAGGCATTCCAAGCATCCACTCCTCAGCCCATGATCTGCAAGAAAACCAACTACAAGAGCACTCAAGAACATGGGTTAGTGGGTTAGTGGGTTAGCTTAAGGAGTTAGAATAATATTCACAATTAAACCCACTTAAGCACTACTTAGCCCACTAAGCACTATACTTAACCCACTAAGCACTATTTATTCCATAACTAAAATTTAGTTAGAAAATAAGAAAGTTAAAAACAACATGTGAAGATAATCCACGCTCACGTGTTTCAAACTCCCCCTTTTTAACTTTCTGATCAAAACTAAATTTTAGCTTAACTCCCCCTGAGTCATTGCTTGAACTCCCCCTGAATATGATAACCAATATAGCAAATAACAATAATAGTGCAATCCTAGCAAACTGAACAAAAACAAATATTGTTCATAAAAATAACTTTAGAGCAGAATATCCAAAGTGTCCTCAGTATCAGCTGCTGCTGCTTTCCTCTGCTCCTTCAGCTTCACCCTCATTCTTTTCTTCTTCTTCATTAACTCCATGTTCTCTGCCTCTGGCATCCAAATGATGAGAAGTCCCTGCTTCAACTTCATGACTAGCTTTTTCTCCCCCTTTTTGATCAGAAAGAGTTTTTTCGGAGCATTTCCACCATGGACTGGTGATAGGTAATCTGAGCTAGAGAATGAGTAAGCTGCTGCAATAGAAGATCTCTAGAAACAGACACAAGAAGGTTAGAAGTGTTGTCAACATGAGGTGCAACACCCTCAGTACCAATGTTATTTTGACCTGATTCAGTTGAGAGAAAATCATCTCCATTCCAGGGAAGATCTTGAACATGAGGAGCCCTCAGAAAATTTTGAGACACAGTGATCATGCCTTGTGGGTTGTGAAGATATTCTGAGTCATCTTGGCCCAAATTTTGAGAGAGTAAAATGGAGTAGATGAGAGAAGGATAGGGAAGGTGAGTGGAGGGTGAAATTTTCCGGGCAAGATGACCAATAGTATCAAAGAACAGTTTACCAAAATCCACTAGTAATCCCATCCCCAATTTGTACATGAGTACATCATGAGGTTTTGTTACCACAGAGACATTTTTGGATGGAATCCAATTCATCACTGTGAGTCTAAACAAGACAAAATAAAATGCAGTGAGTTGAGAAACTTTGAATTTTTTGGGGTGAGCAGACAACATTTCAAACGATTGCCAGAAAGAGTCTTACAAACCTCAGTAAAACCACTATAATTATCCTCATCAGTCACAGTAGGAGTTTGTAAATGAGAGTTGATTATTTTGGGAGAAAAAAAAAGAAAATGGAATTTCGCACAAAAACTTTGCCAAAGTTTGGAGAATTTTTCTTAAAAAAAGAGGTTTGTAAATTGGCATAAAATTCAAACTAGACTAAGGATTTTTCTTTGATCAAGAAAATCAGTAATCCTATGTCTATCAAAGTTTAACTCATCCTTGGAAATTTTCTTCTCCTCAATGAATTGGCAATTCATGATTTGAGGACTCAAAATTGAATCAGATTCAAAATAAAAGATAGTACTGAAAGCATTGTTTACCTCAAAAGTAGTTGACAGATCATTCCCATCCAAGTCTGGCTCTTCTTTCTCAGAGGATTACTCTTCGTTAGAGTCTTCAAGTTCATCTGGGATGTATTTTGGCTCAGGTGATGCAACACGTGGGGCAGCATCTTCCTGCATCGGAGAGGAGTCCTCAGATGAGTCACTGTCTGACTCTGAGTATAGCAATTTTTTGCGAAAAGTAGCAAGGGGAACTTCCCAGCTGTCATCACTTTTCTCTGGTTCATTAGCCTAGGGAGGTGATGTATCCACTTGAACAGCTGCTTCTGCAAGAGTTTCCAGAGGGTTTGCATGTGGTGCTGAGGGTGTTTCTTCAGTGGTAGTGAAATCCTGAGCATCAACAGAGGGAATGTCAACATGCTCGGCAGAGGACATCCCTGAAAAATCAGGCATTTTTTCTTCCTGGTAGGGAACAGCATCCTCAGCAGCACTCTGTGAAACATTGGCTGAGTCAGTGGGTGCAGCAGCATCTTCAGGAACATGTGCAGCAACATCTTCGGAAACCGGATGTTGAGAAGAGTTATGCTGAAGTGTCTCCCCCTTAGTTGATACTCGTGAAGTCGAGTCTTTGGAGGATGACTCAGTAAAGCTTGAGGAGAGAGCTAGGGCTTCCGGTTCTGCAAAGGTTGGATCTCCTTCTTCATCATCGGTTTCTTCAACAACCAAGTGAAGGCCTCTTGGTGGGTTTGGCCTAACTGGAGTGCGACCGACTGTGCTGCCTCTTCTTCTACCTCTGTCGCCTCTGCTTAGAGAATGTCTTCCCCTTCGTCGTTGTGATCCAGTAGCATTCAGATCTGGGAAGAGATTCATACGCTTGGACCGACGAGTTGGAATCCTTCCTGCATTGGAAGAGGGACCCACGTTCTGGAAGTTGTCTGGGTCAATCGGATTCATCTCGTCTCCGGGCTCAATAAAGCTGATCGGCATAGCTTCAAGGTTGACAGGATGAACGATGATGACCAGATTTGGGTCTGCTGGTTCAGGTGCTGCAGCATCGTTGTGGACATCACCAGCTGCGGCTGGAAGAGGATTTCTAGGAGGAGATGCCATGATACAGTAGATAAAAAAATTGCTTCTTGTGCTTTTGATTTTTGAGTGTGAATTTTCGAAAAAGAAGCACGAAATTTAGAAGCCCTAATTTGCAGAAAAAAAATTGAAGTGGAGAAGGTGAATAAGTGTTGTGCGTTTTTCTTGGAGAAAGTGTGATTAAAGAGAATAAAAGTTTCTTTGGCAGTTTAAAGCAAACCGTGAAAAATGGCACAATAAGGAGTGGACTTAGTGGAAAATGAAAGACTAACCCATGTACCCCATGACCCATATAAATAGGGATAATTCAATAAAAATAGAAATAAAAACCGTAACACTCATGAAATATTCAAAAAAAATAAAAAAAACATATTTATTAATGATTAATAGAATTGGCTTACAAGGCATAGATTTTATATATATATATATTTTTTTTTTTTTTTTTTTTTTTTTTTTTTTTTTTTAAACTCTTATTTTCAAGTCAAACAATTCACATGGAACATGATCAAATGTTCAGTTTGAAGGTTCCTCAGTTACTAATATATGACTATCAAAATAGAGGAGTTTGACGTATGCGAGTGGAATTATTTCCCAAATGTTTACATGAAGCATGATCACGTTTCAAGGTGAAAGACTTCCAGTTACTTATTTAGAAAAATAATTCATCACAGTGAAGTCATTATTTAAAGAAGCTGAGCTTCAGTAAATTATGTTGCAGCTTAAGATGTTTGATGCGGTGCTGCAACATTTTTCAGGACATGTTTATTGGGTACACATCCCGAGAGATTTTCTGAGTTTAGAAAACCTCTCATAATCTAATGCCTTCGTAAAGATGTCAGCCAGCTGATCTTGTGTAGAAATGTACTTTAAGCACACTATATTTTTCTCAACTATATCACGAATAAAATGATGTTTAATATCTATGTGTTTAGTACGTGAGTGTTGAACATGATTTTTTGAAATATCAATAGCACTTGAATTATCACAATATATGGCCAGGGTGCCACTGGTTAACCCATAATCCCCCAACATTTGTTTCATCCAAATTAGTTGACCACAACATCCTCCAACAGCTACATATTCTGATTCAGCTGTTGAGAGAGATACACAATTTTGCTTTCTACTAAACCAAGAAACCAGATTATTCCCCAAAAAGAAACATGCACCTGAGGTGATTTTTCTGTCACTAATATCCCCAGCCCAATCAGAATCACTAAAACCTATCAAATCTGTATTAGTGTCTTTGAAAAACTGAATCCTTAAGTCTACTGTACCTGCAACATACCTAATAATCCTCTTCACAGCTTTAAGATGAGTGACTTTGGGATTAGCTTGA